AATCAATAAAAGGAAGGAGGCAGTGGAAACCAAGGCCAGGTGATGCCCATCAGCCCTGGAAACCACCTTGTTACTAGAGCACCCCACAGCCATCACTGCCATGCAGGAGGAAGCCCCCTCCTGTGGGAGTCGGGTACTGCCCATTGTGCTGCCGGGGAATTCCCAGCTCCTCAGGCCCCGGCCTGTCCCAGCTCTGCACATCACTGCACTTTTCCTGTGCTGAGCCCTGTGCTGCAGCTCTGTGTGCTGCACGCTGTGCTCAGCCCTGCTCAAACCACAGCAAAGGCACAGGCACCTGGGGCCCCATGCTCCCCTATAGCCGCAGAGCCGAGCGGGCTGCTGCACACCCACACTGCTCCCACAGGTAAAGCAAAAGCCTCGGGTTCAGCTTCACCCCCAAGTGAGCTGGAAATGCAATGCAGTGCTGTGTGTGCAGGTGCCAGCTGCCCAAGCTGGGCTGGCACAATAGCAGGAGATCTGGGGCTGTGCCCACACCCTGCTGGGGACCCAAGCAAAGCAAAGCTGGGGACAGCAGAGTCACAGCTGCGATGACACAGTGCATCCCTCCCATACAGCAGTCCAGGCACCAGGGCTGCTACACTGACTCCCAGCAGAAGAGCTGGAAAAACCATAGCACCGCTCCTGAGCCCCAGATGGCTGCGCACACCCGGTCTGCAAGCAGGGAGCTGGGGGGTCACGGTCACCACGGCCAGGAGGGAGGTGATGGCAGTCAGACCCCCCTGCCTCAGTTTCCCTTCATCATGTTCATCTGTCCCATCCTGCCATGGAGCACTGGGAGGCATGGGGGCACTGGGAGGCGTGGTGGATGTGCAGCACCAACGATGTGATTCAAGCATAAAGATAATGCTCATCACTCCTGGGATCTTGGTGGGGCTTTTGGAACCCACAGAGACTGTGTGTGCAGACTTCAGCGTCCCTGCAGCCCCCGGGTGCATGGCAACACAGGGAAGAGCCACGGACATTATGGGAACTTTGCAGATATTCTGAGCACCTCATTTCTCATGTTGGGGGTTGTGTACAGGGTTGGAAGCCCACAAAGAACCACTTCCAACCCCCCTGCAGATGCATTCAAACAGTGCACAAATGGTCGGGGCCTGATGGCCCCCAGCCCACGCACTGCTGCTGCTGCAAAGAGCAACCAGGGCAGAAATAGCAGCTCACAGCAAGAATTCCACCGCCTCCTTGGCCAATGTTCCAACAGCATTCCTTCTTCAGAGCTGTGTTGGCTCACCCTGGACAAGCACCCGTCTGTGGGAGCCCAGCCCTGACCCTGCACTGCATGGGGCTCACCCTGTGCCATTGCAGCAGCGCCACTTCAGCTGGGTGCAGTTGGGGTCCTATCCTGACCCCACTGTTGCTCAAGACTACGCAGAAGGAAAGAGACAACCAGGTACCTGATAGGGCCCAGCTGAGCACAGCTGCTCTCTGCAAAGCTGGAAGTGAGCTCATTTTTTGGTGCATTATCAGCGTGCTGAGTGATTCACCTGTACACAACCTGGTCATTGCAAGGAGCTGGCTGCATTTTGGAATGAGCTGTTGATGTGTACAAGGCCCAGACAAACAAACTTGGTAAGAAGAGTGGCAGGCAACAAATAGACAGGACATGAATCATCAGCAGGGCAGGTATGCAGGTGGCTGTGGGGACACGATGGAGCACAGCGTGTGCCGGGAGCTCAGTGCTGGGGCAGTGTGCAGCACCGGGGCTGTTGGCACTTGTCCCGTTGGATGAGCAACAACCCTGTTGGAGCAGATCGCTGAACACACTGTTAATCCAGATGTGCAATAAAGTGCTGAGTGTGTGACTGGATCGAGCAGTTGTGGGGTGATGGGGCTGACAGGGAAGAAATGTAAGGTCAGGTTATCTTATGGCATAACCGTGTGTATCTGTGTGGTTGCACCACTGGTGCTACAACTTGCACTACTTCTGTAGCATCAAGGTTTGGAAATGATGGATGTATGACACTGGGAAGCAACGGGCACCTTGGCACCAACACACTTTTATTCAGCAGGAAGTATCCCTGATAGCATTTGTGATTGTTTTTAAATAGAGCTGTTGCTTAACTTGCCAAATAGCAGTGTAATAACGCCGCGTGGCTGGGTCAGCACAGGGATGCCACAGGAATTAATAACAGAAAATGGCTCACACTCACTCACTTCCTGCAATTTCCTTTGCTCTGTGAGTTCAGGCAGAACACATCGGTTCTTGCTATCTGCATCCAAAAGTGCCAGTGGGAAACCAGGCAAAAAATGACATGGAGGACAGGGAAGATCAAAGGGAATCCCTGTTTTGCACCGTGAAGATGTGGGACAGCAGCAGCCCCATGCCACATGGGGGTGGTGATCAAAGAGTGGCACTCGAAGGGACAGCAGCAGCAGGGGGACAAAGCTGAAAATGCATAGGCTCTGTACATGTGAAAGCAGCAGTGTGAAGCAAGGTGCCCATTTCTGGTCCCAGCGCAGCCCCAGACTCCACAGCTCAGGGATTTCATTGTGGTGAGTGCTCAGCGGGGTCCTGGTACAGAGATCCCTGGCTGGAAATGGGCACTGCAACTAGGGAGGAGAAGGAGCTCAGAACCAGACGAAATCCTGAGGCCAGCTGGCCAGAAGGAAAAGGCAGAGAGCAAGAGGGTGCCAAAGGTCTGCCCAGCAGTACCCAAAGGAGCACAGTGAGCACCCTGCTCCAAACTGAGGGAGCAGCCCTGCACGCCGCACTCCTGATGCTGAGTTGGGTGCCCAGAGCCGCACACCATGCCGAGCCCAGCAATGCCCACCTTTAAAGCCATGGCACAGCAAGAGCTCCCAGGAAGCGGGATGATACTCAGCGGGGCTTGGACCTCAGGTGCGTGTGGGGGTTCATCTGCAGAGCTGGGCAGCAGGTCTGGCAACGGAGCCGTGGGCTGCAGGTGGCCTGCGTGGGGCTGGCCCAGCAGCAGGGCCAGGGGGCAGCGTGCCATCGGCTCAGGACATTGCTCAGCCCGAATCCCGCGTGGCACGCAGCGACATCCCCGTGGGCTGCCTCCCTAACCGCCCCAGCAGAACTGCCCCCACCAGCAGCGCAATGCTGAGTCACCGCGCCCCCCCTCCCCCCCTCCCCACGCCGTAGCTGGGGGCGACACGGAGCGGGCGGACCCCCCGGGGGGCAGCGTGTTGGGGAGAGGGAGGGCAGGAAGGAAGCGGGGCCGAGCCCTGGGGGGGGCGGCGGCGTGCGGAGGGGGCGGGCGCGGGGCGGAGGGCGATGCGGCCGCGGGCCCCGCGCTGCCGCTGCTGAGCGAGAGAAATGTGAGCCGGCTGCACCACTGCAGCGGCACTGCGGGCGCCGGGAGCGCGCAAGGGAGCGCGGCCGCGCCGCCGGCAGCGCTGAGCCCCGCGGGACGGCGGGGAGGGAACCGGCACCGCGCGGAGCCGCTCGCCTGCACCTGCCGAACCCAGCCGAGCCCCCCCTCAGCCCGGCGGCCGCTTGCATCAGCCCTCGGCGGGGCACGGCGCGGCGGCCGGGGGGGCGGCGGGACCGAGGACGGGGGCTGCCCGGCTGCGGGGCTCTGCGGTGCCCCCAGGGCCTTTGTCCGAAGGATCGTCTCTCCCACCAACGTCGGGAGCGGGGAAGCGGCCGGAGGCTGCCGCCGGGCCGTGGGAAGCGGGAGGGAGGCGGCGCGGAACCGGCAGCATCCCCGCGGAACCGAAGCCGGAGCCGCATCCCCGCGCCTTTCAGATAACCTTTAGCAGCACCGAGCGGGGCCAGAACGAGGCGCAGGGCCGCACCGGGACCCTGCGTCCGGAGCACCGTCCGCAGAGCCGCAGCCCCGCAGGTAAGGACGGTCGCGGGCCGGGAGCATCACCCTGCGGGCGCGCAGGCGCGCGTGTATGCCGGGGCACATGTATGTGCATGTATGTACGTGTACATGTATGTATGTGCACGTGTGTACGCGTGTATGTGCACATGTGTGCGTGCACAGCTGGGCTGCGGCTGTGGCTGCGGCTTTGCGGGGCTTTGCGCTGGGAGCGGAGCGCAGGAGCCGGGTGTGCGGAGTGCCGGGGAGGACTGGGGGGGGGGGGGGGGGG